TAATAATATACCCCTCGACTTAAGCAATAACCAAATTTTATTTATGTCCTAGTTTGTAATATTTATTGTTTAATTTATATTAATTTAATTATAAAAACGTCAATATTGATAAAAAAGAAATATAAAGAAAATAATAATGAATATAAAATTTGATAATTTTTTTTATATAATGGATAAATAAATTTTTGTAAATTTTAATTGAAATTGATGATTTTGAAATAAAGACTTTATATTTTGAAATTTGATAGTACTTGGTAAATTTCTTTAGGTTAAGAGATATTTTTTTATTTATATAATTTGTAGGGAATGTCATTGGTCCATAAAGGGGTAACATTTATATGATTGAACCTGTGTCAGTTATATTTATTAAACCAATTTTAGTATGTTTTAACAATGATTTAATCATATAGCAGTTAAAATACAGCAAAACAAATTTTAAGAAGGTATATAATAATGGTAAAATGAGATATATATATATTAAAAAATGTAATAATTGATTTCAAATTTTTATATTAATTTACTTAATACATTGATTACAAGATTTTAAAGCATCTTTTTATTATCAAAAATTATATTATATTTTATTTTATAAAAATAAATATAGGTAAAACAATTAAGGGATAACAATGTTAGCAAACTTTTTAAACTTTGAGTATTTTTTTAGAGTTTAATTTATTATCCATTATATTTTTAAAAACCTTTCAGGTTTTACCAAAAAAATCATTTTTTTAATAAAAATTATCATTTAATTTTGATATAGGACATTATATTAGGACTCAGAATTAAAAATTTGGAAATTATTAAGTCATAGCTATAAAATAATATTATCAGAAGTTTATAGTTAAACTGGAAATCAAGCAATAATGATTCTACAATTTATATCACATTGGGGTTTGCCATGGGCAAAACTGTCAAAATGTTCCATATGAAAGGAATATTATATTATTTGGGGTATATATTTTAAAAGTCATAACAAAGAGGGAAAAAATTGAAATGTTGAATGTGTCTAAAATGGGCAGTTCAAAATATACTAACTATATTTTATTTTTTTCAATTTAATAAGTGTATACTTAAAAGTAATGAATAGATGTTAATATTTTAACCATTTAACAATGATGGTTTGGAGTAAAATGCTAAACCTTACATAATCAAGAACAGTTCCTATAGTATTATAGCTATAGAGCTACAACTCTATTTTATTTTGTAGATGAGGTGTTTGGCTATTTTTATATCTATAATTTTTCTATTTTTATAAGTCTATAATTTTTGTCAAAAATAAATCATTTTATATTGGTTTTCCCTATATTAGGTAATGTTTACAATAATGAATATATTGTAATGAAATGTAAAATTATATAAAATATACCTATTTTAAATTGCTAGCACTTTAAAATACAAGCCTATAACTTTAATCTTATAATTATAAAAGCTTTCAACTTTAATCCAATATTTTAGTAAAATGGAATCAAAATCTCAATTTATTTTTCTTAAATACTGTAATCTTATAAATATATCAATAAGTAAAAGGTTACTCTTAAAATGTTAGATTTAAAATATAATAAATTATAATACTTGAGGGATTCATTATGATGATTCCAAGCACATCACGCATTTCCCCAATTCCAGGTTTATTTGATGTCAATACGTGTTTTCTCTTTTAAAATATATATTATAATTTACATATATTGCAACTATTTATAATTGTTGAATAAAAATCAGTATATTTAAGGAAATTTAAAATTTCTTTAATTCTAGAATTTAAAAATTTGACAATCAACTCTCATAAACGTTATCTAAAAATTAAATTCATTTTAAAAAATAGTAGAATAGAAATTTGAAAAAAAATAACATTAACTAAATATATAAAAATTTAATAACGATTTCGAATGTCCAAAACTTTCGCCTTCATTAAAAATTATATTCTTTAAACTTTTCATTTATGCATCTATAGTCAATGTAATGTAATTATGTAATAAATTATCGAATTCTTTTTATTCTTTATTTCGTAAAATCCTAATCATCATTTATTTTCAAATAAATCTCAAATTATATTATAATAATAAAATAAATATTTTATAAAATAATTAAAACAACAATTTAATACACATCATTTATCCTCAGTCGGTTCCGATCGTATCCTTTTGGGGTATCGATCTTGACTTGTTTTTACCACCCACTCCTTTGAATTCATTTCATCGCTGTTTTTTATTACCTCCTCTTTGTTTGCTAACTCTTCTGTTTTGTCTTTTACTTCAGTGTTCTCTCTTCTAATTCGTATACTTCAATTAATATATTTTCAGTTCTTTTCCTTAATTGGTCCGTATGACGTATAATCGTATTTACCCGCTATACTTACTTCATAACGTTGTGATCCAAGTATGTTAATAATGGCTTCTTCCCATTTTTTTTCTTTATTATTGTAAAGGCGCAACCAAACTTTTTCATTTATCTGGAATTTTGTTTGTAGTATTCTAACTTCTCCTTTTTGTTCCCCCGTTCGAATATTTGATCTAACCTCTAGGTTTAAATTTTAGTAGTATTTTCAGCGGAACTTTGTTTAGTTTCTGTCCCTGGTGTATTCCTGTAATTGTAGAGAAATATAGCTAGACTAGTTTCTAAATCCCTATCGTTTCTTTTATTCATACTCTGTTTAAAAGTTCAAACTTAACGTTTTACCATGCCGTTTGTCTGAGGATGGTAAGGACTTCCGTGCACTAATTGATACCGTTTTTTCACAAAAATTAATGAAATTTTTGTAGCTGAATTGGAGTCCGTTATCAGAAACAATTATCTTGAAAAATACGAATCTTGCAAAAATATTTCTTAATATTTTTATCGTGCTTTCGGTTGTAGTGCTAGTCATGGGAACTATTTCTGGCCAGCGACAGCTAGCATCTATCACTACAAACCAAAAATGAATTTGAAATGGTCCAGATCAATATGTATTCGGTGCCATGCTTTTGGTGGTTTTGGCCAATTTTGAACTGCTGTCTTTTGAAGCATATCATGTTGTTCCTACCGTTCTCTACATTTTTCGACCCATGTTTCTATATCTTGGTTTATATTAGGCCACCACGCATATTGTCGTGATCTCATCTTCATTTTTACCATTCCGATATGTCCTTGATGTATCATTTCCAACACGTTGTTTCGGTATTGTTGTGGCATTATCATTTTAGTTATCCATAATAAACAACCTCTCTCTGTTGTAATTTTTTCTTACCTTTGGCTATACTCCTTTAAACATGCATCATAGTTTATTGGCCATTCATCTATTGTATATCTGTATACTTTAGAAAGTATATCATCTCGCATTGTTTCTTTTTCAATTTCGCCTTTGATCCAACGTTACTTCTTTTGATATTGAAGTTCCCTTTATGAGTAATCTAGATAGCATGCAGCGTCTACATGAGCGGGAGGGGTAGGTACAGTTCGCATCCTATTTTTTTGAGGGGGTAGGCGGCTTTAATAAGGGTAGGATAAATTTTTGGAGGGAATTATCTATTGAATTTTGAGATAAAATAAGACAAAATTTATCGCTGTAAAAATTAATACTTTTATTATAGAACTATTATAATACAATTCATCGACCAAATTTATATATTGTAAACAATCATACATATTGTTTTGCAAATAAAACTTTCTGCTATCCTTTTAAATTACATTTAAAAGGTTTAGATATTTCAGCAAGCTCGTAAAGTTATAATAATGAATTCATTGTAAATAATGGAGGATTTAATTGAATTTATTATCTAAATAATAAATCCTTTATATTCACAAAATATCGATAGTTAGTAGTAGAGATAGATTAATTTAAGTTATCCTTTATAAATTCTTTGAAAAGAGTATCATTATAATTAAAAAGGTGAAAATAATAATGGGGAAATATCGTCGCCGAAGGTAGCGGGAATTTTTTTGGTTTATCCTAAATTGTCACATATCACATATACATAAGGTATAAATACATATTTTGAACTATTAAATTATAATTTTGAAGATGTACAAGAAGAAAGGTGACAATTGTCTATTTTTAAATTTTTTATGAAGCAATAGGATTAAAATATAAGTGTAAATATGTTAAATTAAAATTTCAGTTTGGAAACATGTATTTTTTTACGATTTATACTGTAAATTTTATCATTTAATTTTATACATTTTAAAAAAAATAATTAAATATTTTTATATTACATCTTTTTGAAAAATTATATATCTTGTAATTTGTATCTCTTTGCGATTTAAATAAAATAATTTATAAATACAATGAAATAACGTTAAAATCATTATAAAAATAGATTTATTATAATGAATGTTGTTTCTTTGCAAATGGTTGTTAAATGAGTAATGTTGTTATAACATTATAAAATTGGACGTTGAGCAGTCTATATTAATATAAATCTATGGGTATTTAAATAGCCCTACAGCCACCAAAGAATAATACATCATATTATTAATTTACTTTGACTCATAGATTATCCAAAGAAACATAGATTCTTCACAATACCACTCAATACAAAAATCATCAATATTGCAACCCTGCAAAATATTCCTTACTTATATCTATTACACCCTCAAACACCAAATAATTTACATATAAATTTTTTTAATTAAAAAAATTTCGAATGATTCTTATAGCTCGAAGATTGTACTAAAACATAAAAAAAAAATTTTTTAAAATTTTTTATTTTTGAGTGTAGATGCCATTAATGTTCGATAATTTTGGACTATTTAAAGTGTACTACGATTGTTTAAAAAGTACTTTTAAGATGGTTTAATTAGTTTAAACTATTCATCAAAAAATTTACCTAATTTTAAGTGGCAATTCGATTATAACCTTTATTAGATATCTGCTAAGCTAAGTTCGAGAAAATTTAAAGAAAATAATATAACGGTCCGAATAAAATATTTTATTGGCAGGGCGACTCGAGAATGACACGGTCCCTCGCTAATTAATATGGTGGTGCTTGATAAAACAAAATATCCTTGAAGCATATGTACGGCTTATGAAAAATATTTATGATGCCTCAACTTCTTGCGTTAGAACGACTGTTGGAGACTCTAAACTTTTTCGGGTTGAAATTGGATTGTATCAAGGATCTGCTCTAAGTACATTTTTATTCATTATTATTATGGACACAATGGCGGGAGATATCCAAAAGCCATCTCCTTGGTGTATGCTATATGCCGATGATATAGTACTATGCGAAGAGACAAAGGAGAAAGTATTCGAAGAAGCCGAAAAGTGGTCAAAGCGCTTAGCTGGATATGGTTTAAAGTTCAACAATCGAAAGACTGTATATATGGAGATGAACGTTACAGGTACCCCATCGCTGGATGACCAATTAAAGTATCGAAAAGTTAACAGGTTTACATACCTCGGCTCGATACTACAGCACGAGGGAGGTTGCGAAAAAGAAGTCAATGCACGGATCCAAAAAGGATGGCATAAATGGCGACGTATATCCGGTGTAATGTGCGACAAGAGATGCCAATATGGTTGAAAAGCAAAACATACAAATCCATTGTAATACCGGTGTTACTCTATGGAAGTGAAACATGGGACGGAATAAAAGTTATTATAAGCTACGCAGATGAGAATGATACGGTGGAGCTTGGGGTATACAAAATCAACCATATGACGAATGACTTTCTCAGAGCAAAAATGGGTATTCAACCTATGGTGGATTTGATAAACAAAAATCGGCTAAGGTGGTATGGTCATATACTAAGAAGGGAGACGAATGATGTAAATCGAAAATATTGGACATGGAGGTGCCGAAGAGGACGACCTCGTGTTCCGTGGAAAGGTCAAGTAGACAAAGTTAAGATAATTAAGAAGAATCTTGACATGGCCCTTACTCAATCAAGATGGAAAAAACTTATCAGAACAAACCTCACGACTGTGGGACCATGTACACGATAAAGAAGAAGAAAAATAAGAAGAAAAATAAGAAGAAAAAAAATATTATGATAAAAAATATTTAAAAAATTAATTAAAATACCTTTTAATTAAAATCTCTGGAAATTTTCGATTTTTGTTAAACTATCTCACAACTATTAAAACTATATCGCCTTGTTGATACTCAAAAATTTTAACTTCGACATGATCAGTCTTATTTGGATATCAAGAAAGGCTCAGGATGGAGTACATTCTATAATATTTGTCTGTAATGAAGCAGATTAATTTCCCTCCCAAAGCATTGCATGGGATAAAGAAGCTTGCGGACCTCATACTATCGATAACATGATTTTTCAAATACCAGCCTACCCTATCTCAGCCGAACGTAATTGATTACAATAGTAGCATTAGGGCATCAAAAATAATAATATGCAAAGTGACTCGAATAGAGTAGGATTACATTTAACAAAACCTGTGTCAATATCAAGCAATTCCTTGGAAGTCTTGAATTTTGCGATCAATAATAAATAGAATATCCCGCTCAGTGTTAATTTTCCAATCTGAATTTTATTTGTCACTCAATCATATAGCGGCACTTAATATAGTAGAAGGAAGTAAAATCGACTCGTGTTTAAGGAATTATGAGAGGTAAAATTTGAAATAAGCTAATTATATATTTATCAAAGACCTGCAGAGGTGCCATTTCCACGGCGGCCTAGATTTTGAAAAAAATAATTTTTTTATTTTTGTTAACTAATAATAGCCATTCAAAGTATTTGCTTTTAAAATGTTAGGATGGGCATCTTTAAAACATAAAATTTAATTAAAATTGCTTTTCAAATCTATTGTTTCAGGCATTTTTTTTTAAAATTTGATAGAAATAAGATCTTATAGAAAGCTTGTATTATATAGGTGCTTTTTGCCTATATTTAACTTTATTTAAATATAAAATAAAAATTGGTTAAGACAAAGTTCACATGCAACAATGGAATATAGACTCAAAGCTATGTGAAAGGCCTTTACTAGATATATGCAATATAAAAATGGCTGGGCGACTGCAATGATAGCAACATATCATTAATCTAATTGTGAATAAAATGAGATTTTGGATTTGGAAAAACTTTAATAGTAAAGAAATGGGAAGCCCAATTGCTCATAGCAAAGGAAAAATCTATCTCCAATAAATACAAGCAATTTATAATCGAATTCATAATGTTAATACTTATCTATTCTCCTTCTTTGTTTCTTTTTATTATTTTTAAGGTAGATAAACATTGAATTTTTTTTGAAATATATTAATGGAAAAATAATTTTTGTAAGGTTGAAATTTTCTAAATTTTTTTTATAGAGTAAGTAGTCTCCTGAGTTTAGTGGTGATGATGAGTAGACTTAGCTATATGCACTAAATTTTTTATAGAAAGAAAATTTAATCATCCTGCTTTAATTCCTTATTATTATTATTAATTGCACTTATCAGAATAATAATTTTTATTTTATAGTAATGGTATAACAAATATCATTTTATATTAATTAATTTATTTATTTATATAACTGAAGTTTTTTGCTAATTAAAATCCTATTTAATAATTTAAGCCAATTACCTATATTTATAGTTTATTTTATTTATTATTAAAAAATTTACAATTAAATATTTCAGGCAAATAAATTATAATCTCGTTTACATAAACAATTTTACAAAATTAATATAATAAAAGTAGATATTAACAAATTGGGCATTTTTTAATTATGAACATCTTCAACTTAAATTTCTTACCAAAAATCTCGTTCAATGCCTATAATTAAAATTTTGCTCTGACCTATTTTGGCCTTTTCCTTCTGTTTTATTTTGATCTATTCTGTTTTTTTGTTGAGATTTGCTTTGATCTATTCTATTCTATTCTATTTTCTTTTTTTTTGTTCAGTTCTATTGTTCTTATCTGTTCTTTACATTTCACTTTTTTCCTCTTTTCTATAGGGTTGTATTCAGGCGCGTATGCAGGAATTTGGTCTGGGGGGGGATAATAAATTTTTTTAAGAAATAATATTTTTAATTAAAAATACTAAGCATAAATTTATTAGGATTAATAACTTTTCTAATACACAATTTTAAATTAATGTGAATTAAAAAAATTATATATATAAACCGGCATTTAAATGTGAATCATAAAATATAAAGTGAATATAACCCACGATATGAATCACTTAAATGACCCAAAATTGAAATTTGAATTTTTTGAGCTTTTAAAATATATAAAGTATAAAAAATTTAAATGTTGTAAATATAAATTAATACACAAAAAGTTTCTTAGGAATAATTGTATTTTGTATGTTTTGAGCTAATTTTTCAATTATCAATCCTTGCTTGGCGTTAAATGTCTATGAATATTCAAAAGATCCAAATCATTCAATCTACTTTCAGATGTTGTATTTCATAGGTATGTTTTTCACAGACTTGCAGGCCCGGCCCCCGAGCCGGACCGTATTTTAATTTTTTTAAATATACCCGGACCGGTCTCGTAATTTTTTTTTTAAAAAACACCTGGATTGGGCCTGAAAATTTTTTAAGAAAAAATATCCGAGCCGAGTTGTATATTTTAAAACCAAATATTTGAAATCGCCATTATTAGCTATAAATATCAAAAATAAATATAATTTATTTTAAAAAATTCGGGCTGGGCCAGCCGGGCCGGGCCTGAAAATTTTTTTAAAAAAAACCCGGGCTGGAAAAAATTTTTAGAAAAAATCTGGGCCTGGTCCTGCAAATGGTACCTCTGCAAGGCTCTGTTATTCTTCTTAAAAAAGTGAATGTTCTCTCATTAGTTTACTGAAGAGCTGCTAATATATATATATAACCATTTTAATAATTGGGAGTATAATCTAAAATGTGTTTGAAATAAAAAGCATCCATAGCATTTTTTGGTACTGTATCAACCATAGTTAATCTTTTAATCATAGTTATTCAGCTAATAAGGCATCATAAGATATTTTAACATCTTCATGATAAAAATATAACAAATATTTATATTTTTTTTCTATCACCATATGATATTTTATAATAGTCTTCTACTGATCCTATATTAATGTTTTGATGATGAGCTTGCTTGCTGCAAGTCGAGGGGGACAAATATTTAACACGTATAGCTCTGATTTTGACTCAACAATAACATATAAAATATGAAATTCTTCAACAACACTAGCTCTATTTCCTTGAGTTCTAATAAAATGCTCTCCGCTATTCTCATCTTCTTAATCAAGTCAATGTTATGTTTTTGAAAAGTATTACATAAAATAGTTGTATAATTAAATAATACATTCTAATGAGAAAAAAATTTGGAATAAGTATTGAATCCAATAATTTTCTTGCTTCTGAGGAAATATTTCTTTCAAGCCATTGTGATATTTCAGTAATAGCATTAATAATCAGCTCTTCTAACTCCAAAATAGCTGTTACTGTGGCGGAGACTCGATCTCGTTGGACAAGCTTGCAATTTTTTTCTTCCTGTTGGACAAGGAGTTTCAGAGATAATTATTATTTTATTAGAATTTAGATAAATATTACGCCACTAAAATTTGAAAATAATAGGTAAATTACGCCAAGGAAAACTTGAAATCGAAATTGATTGATAAAATAACTTAGTAGATGAATGTGATAAATAAATGTAATTAAATATACACATATATATATATATATATGTATATATGAGATAAGAATAAATATTAACAAATATAAATTAATATTAACAAATAATATTTTTGAAAAATATCGGCATCTGCATTTTTTGGCTTTGGGGGGATTTGTCCCCCTGCCCCCCCCCCTCCCCCGCTGCGTACGCGCCTGGTTGTATTGTATTCTGTTATGTATCTTCTTCCATTTACTCTAATTTAATTTCCAGATGGCTTCAAATTATCTTTATCATCTAGAATTGTTTTTAATTATAGACATTGAAAGTGATCTATTGGAACAAATTAAATTTCAAGATGACCCTTCTGCCCAGTATGTTAAATTAAATAGCATAAGTAGGGAACCAAACCGAGCCTAAACAGCCCCTGAACCGTTAACTGAACCTTAACCGAAATTTTAAACCGAAATTATCGAACGTGAATCGAGGTGAACCGTTATTAATTTCTATCCGAACAAACTGAACTGTTAAATTTTTTATCTGAACAACGTGCCCTATTTTAATTTTTAATATATCCGAACCGGGCCTATTTTTTTTAATATCTGGACTGGGCCTTTCCAGCAGGGCCACTCTGGCAAATGACACCTCTTCAGATCTCTGCCGATAAAAACAAAAAATTGAATAGATTAATTAAAATCTATTATGTCTTATTATAATTAACGAGAGGATATTCCGAATAATCTCGTATTTATTATTATGGGAATTTTTGAGCTATAACTGATGCTTCTTATAGAGACGGTCCTCGATCTTGACCACAAAGTAGACCGGGGGACCGACAGAAGGATAGTTTTACATTGCATCAAAATGTCGCAGCTCATAAGAAAACTGAATGGGATATAAAAATGCAATCAATGTATATAATATAATCATTATTAATAATACCTGATCAGAATAAATTTTTATTATTTGTAAAGTATTTTGC